GGGACAAGCGGGAGGTCACTGCCAGTGCCATCTGCCCCTGCTGTCCCTCACAGGGGCCATGTGCTGGGTGGGGACTGAGAAGAGCCGCCCGGGCTCACCTGCGGCACCGCTGCTGGCACCCACTTGCCCAGGCTGCTGTTGGCGGGGTCGGGGACACTGGGCCAGAGCTGCTCCTTCATCCTGGGGACCACGGGGATGAAGGCACTCAGCGAGGCGGGCTGGAATGGTGGCCTCAGTGCTGGACTGGCTCCCACCAAGCTCCCGGCGAGATGTCAGCACCTCGCAAGGGCCACCCTGTCCCACCAGCAGCCCAGCCTGGGCTGGGGCTCTGCTACTCACCGCTCGTTCTTCTGGAAGCAGATGAGCAACACCATGAGCACAACGAAGACCAGCCCCAGGGTCAGGAAGAGGAACTGGATCTCGGTGTCATCTGGGAAGCAGGACAGGGTCACAGGGAACTGCAGTGGGCACCTCCAGCTGTGCTATGCCACAAGGCCAGGGCAGGACTGGGGGCTGTAGGTCCCCTCCCACTTGCCCCCACCCTGGGTGGCTGCAGCCCTCACCCAGCACTTTGGTCACCAGGGTCAGGCTGGTGCCGTTGGTGCTGCCAGCAGCTGTGGATGCCATGATGTGCACCTTGTACAGGGTCGATGGCTTCAGGCCCCGGATGACAAAGGAGCTGAGGGAAGTATTCACGGTGGCACCTGGGGACACATGGGGCTGTTGGTGTGGCAGAATCCCCCCCCTGTACAGCCCCTCAGGTCTCTGCTGGTGGGGAGCCCTAGGAGGGACCCATAAAACTCCCTGACCCTCTCTGAGAAGGACACAGGGACTCCACCCGGCACATTGAGATGGGACAGAGGGCAAAGTCAGTGGTCCTGCGGGCAGGACTCACTGGCCAGGTCAGCGATCCTGTTGGCCCAAAAGATCGTGTAGCTGGTGATGAAGCCGTTCTGCATGTCCACTGGCAGCGACTCCCAGCACAGCTCGGCCTCTGACTTGCTGATCCTCTTCAGGTGAAGCTTTGGGGCATGGGATGGTGCTGGAAAAAGCAGAACAAGGGGGGGACCAAGTGCTGAGCAGAGCCACTGCCTCGGGTGGAGGGTTCCACTCCCAAAGTGTGGGAATCACGACCTGCCCATGCTGTAGGGGAGCTGAGAGCACACTCAGAGCTGAGACAAATCCAGCCCCCAAACTGAGCTCTTTACTACAGCCCCTGCGTTAGGCATACATGGGGAAAAGGTCATTCTTCCTCTTGGAAGGGGCCAAGTCTTGGTGGTGGGGCACCCTTCATACGTACCCTTCTGCTGGGAATAGGCTGTGGTGTGCACGGGCACCCCCACAGTGCTCTCGTAGAGGGGGTACAGAGATATGTTGTACCGCTGGAAAGGCTCGATGCCATCTACAATGGAGAGCAGATGGGGCTGGGAGTTCAGGTCACTGGCTGCTGAGACCCCAGAGCTGCGCCGGCCCTGCCCCACGATGCCAGCCTACCTATGCTAGGGGTGGATCCAGAGGAAGGAGGGAGGGTGGGGAGTGGGCTGGGGGCAGGGCTTGGTCCTGGTTTGGTCAGGATGGGTGCCAGCCCCCTGGGACAGCTGACCAGGGGGTCAGGACCCCCTGGCAGCCCCCACTTACCCTGGATAAGAGCTGTGGTGGCTGCCCTGTCATGCTCCATCTGCCAGAATGCGCTGCAGTGCCCAGGCTCTACTGTCACCCGCTGCCACTCCAGGATGTAGGCGGTCACTGGGACCAGCGGTGCCTCCCAGTGCACCCAGAGGCTGTGCT